AACTTCGTCCCGAAGTTGCAACCCATGCAAACCAATTCACCAACACAAATTGTCCATTTACAATACCCAACATTACTGACCTAATACTACCTAACACACTAATAATGCAATACACTATTCTATTAACTAACACATACACTAACACTAAAAAATTATTATTATTTTTTTTTTTTTTGCAACAAATACCCATCAAATAATCAAATCCAGCACCCTACAACACTCTAACATCCAATCTTCCAAACCTACGCATTTCCAAATGACTCCCGAAGACAATGCTCTCCAGATGTTCACAATCGCACCCAGTTAACTGATTCAAATACAATCATTTAAAGAATTCGACCTTCCCAATGCTACCTAACATGGATTGTCTTTCTCTTGAGACTATACCTTTGACGTTATAAGATATCCTCCAGTCATTCGACGCTCTGGGTCTCACATTTCCACTATTAGATCCGTTACTACACACCTTGGTCCATTGTCTTGAATTAGGTAAGCTCACGTGATTCTTCGTATGACCTTTCACCAACATTCCATTTCTCGTTTCTGGGTTTCGCTTACATATAGGACCAACCATAGTTCCATCAAAATCACTCCTATTGGCTGATTCTTGATGTTCGAATGCTTTATATTCATTTTTGTCAGCTCCAATTCCATATTGGTAACAACACCCAACATCATTTACTCCATTAGCCTTTCCAATATCAGCAGATTTTTGGTAAGAATCGAATGCCTTCTGATTTTCCATTTCAACACCGATTTCATTCTCATAACAGCAACTAACGGTACATATATTACCATCACTGATCATTTTTTCAATAGGAATCATATTAGCAGATTGCTGATGATATTCGAAGGCTTTACTTTCGTCTTTTTTAACGTCAACTTCGTTCCCTTTTTCATAACAATGCCCAACAGCACATGTCCCATCAGCATCGTCCATGTTAGACGATTTTTGATAATGGACGAATGTCTCATGTTTATCCTTATCAATTCCATTTCCATGATGATAGCGAATGTTCAACAAAACCTTTAATTTCTTCATCCACGCACCTAAAGATCTGTACATTTTGGACTTCATTCGGATTTGTATCCCTTTTCTTTTTCTCTTGCCGATTTCTTTTCCAGCTCATATTCTGATCCTTTTCTTTAACCATAATCATAGGTTGTACTTGCGATGGACATGATTGAGCCAAATGTCCTGGGCATCTACATACGTAGCATAAGCGTGGTCTATAACATCGTCGTTTCGTTTGCACCACCTTCAAGCTCTTCACAACTTCAGCCACCACCTCAATCATGTTTTCGACCAATGAAACCAACCGATTTTCACCTTTCATTCTCTTTCGACTTCACAACTTGAGTTACGTTCGATATTATTATTATTTTTTTTTTTTTTTTTTTTTTTTTGTTTTCTTTATTTTTCACTAACAATGTCCTTTTGTATCTCTTAAAATACACAATGCACTTCGAAACTTTTGGCTCTTCGAAATTCAACGAGTAGGACTTTCGTCTGCCCAAGTCCTTCTGTCGTGGCCAAATGCAGTTATACGGGGTCTTTGTTCCTTTAACCTTGAATTTTCCTCGCTTGGCTTTCCACACAGGCTGGAGTATCGTTCCAGGTACTGCCACCAATATACTACGACGTTGACCACACAGTTTTTCCTTTAGAACGTTTTCACTAAGCTAAAACTTATTCCAAAGCCAAATCTTAAACGCTGCCTTTATTATTATTAGATCGCTCATATTTAAATACAAGATTATCGGCGGATAAAGTATTATCCGGGTTACACGCATTATGCAGTACATACGATTAGACTATAAATTAATTTTATGCATCTACTAATTCGACGATCACGCAATTCATGCAAATCCGAATCACGCCATTATCGTTACCCAGTTACGATCGGGTAACCCATGATCGTACCCAACCCTAGCAATACCGATACAAGGGGTGTTGGTCATCAGCATGACACTATTATCAATTTTAGAAATTTTCTATTTGATAGTAGCATTGTTAGAGGGGAGTTGTTGTTTATTAATTTTAGATGTTTTGGTTTTTGTAATAGTATCAGTTAAGTTTGTTGTTGTTAAGATAGTTGTTGTAAATTATTAGATTTTGTAGCAAGAAATTTCTGTTTTGCAAATGAGTTGTTAAAAAGGAGTTGTTGTTTGTTAATTTTGGGAGGTTTAGTTGTTATAATAGAGTCAATAAGATGTTATTGTAGTTGAGGTTGTTGTTGAGTATTAGAATTTGTAGTAATGAAGTCTGTATAGGATATAGTAGAATTAAAATTTTAAGTTTTTTAATCAGATATTGATTTGCTTGATTGATATATGATTTCTTTAAAGATTGTAATAGTTGGTTTAGAAATTTAAGTAAGATCATAGTAGACAATAACTCTGGCCAAGATTTATGAGTCTGTAAATTTAGAGGAAAGTTTGTTAAGTACATCTTTAAGATTAAGGTCTGTAATTTGTTTATTGTTTGCTACAATTTTTAAATATGCTATAAGATAGTTGTAAAAGAAAAATGATATTTGTTTAGAGCTTAAAGTTTGAAGGTTTGTTTTAGAAAGTTTTAACTTATTGAGTTTAATAAGTTTTTGGTTAAGTGTGATAAATTTTTGTTCTGCTTGATTAGCAAAGTTGTAAAGATCTTTGAAGAGAAAGGCAGTAGAAAAAGTAGCAGTATAAAGTTGATTAGACAAAAAGATAGAATTATCTAAAATTGGATAAATAATTTTAGAAGCAGGTGAAATTTGAAAAGAATGTTTAAAAAAATGTGTAGTTAAATTACAAAGGTTGTGAATAGTATTTGATATGAGAATTGTACATTTAGTTGGATTTGTACATGTATGTAAGTGGTGTAATGCAGTTTTAATAGTGGTGTTTATACAGTTTGAATAGATAGAATAGTAGAGGTTTGAAATTTCTTAAGAATAAGTTTTTTGTATTCATAATTAATTGTTGTTACTATTTGAAATTTGATATAATTATAGGCTTTTTATTTATTGTTGTGGCTGAAGCTGGAAACGGCTGAAGCTGGAAATTTTAAATATTTTATTATGAAATTTTCAAAATTTTTTGGGGTGCATTTTTTTAGCTTTTTTTTCATGGTTAGATTAGGATTTAGGGTTAGTTTTTATAATGAAAGAGTATAAGTGGATTTTGGCAGGGTTTATATTTTTAAATCAGGGTCCCTGATTTCCAGCTTCAGCCGTTTCCAGCATCAGCCGTGACATTTATTAATAGTATTGAATTGTTTTTTGTAGTGTTTAAAAAATTTTTGAAACCACTTATTGAATTTTGTTGAAAATAGAGAAAAGGAAGGAATATGATATATTGTTAAGAATTGTAGTAAGAGTATATTAATAGTAATATTAATATGAAATTTAGAAGTATTATAGATTTGAAATATAGGAGTATTTGTGTATTTGGTTTGATTAATAAAAAAAAAGTATAGTTTGGTATTGATTAGAAAGAAAAAGATGAAGTCTAGCCAAATTAATAATAATTTGGAATCATTTTTTAATAGAGTAAAGAGGAATAAAGAGATGGGAGTTAAATATTTTTAAATAATTAGAGTGTTGAAAGAAAGTAGTAGTAAATACTAATAGTAGCTTTTTAAGAGCTTTACAAATAAAATTAGCAGGAATGTCTAGAGGTTGAGTGATATGAGGATGTGATTTTAAAATAATATCAATAAGAAATTTAGGTTTTTGAAGGGCCATTGTATGGAGTAAAAGATTGAAGTTATTTTTAAGAGCTGGTATATCAGTTGTTGCAGGTCAAATAATTGAACCAGGATAAAAGTCTTTAAGAAAGGGTTTTAAAAAGTTTACTGTTTGAGTTGTTAGTTGGTTAAATGGAAAAAAACTATTTAATGTTGGAACAGGAAAATGCTTGAATCAGTCAAGAAGTTGGTCTTGATTCATATTGAGAGATTTATTATTAGAAGACTGATGGGTAGTAGGTTGATAATAAAAAAATCAGTGTTGAGATGTGTTTGTTTAAGACATATTAAATAAATTTATTAAGTAAGTATTCTGGATGTTTTGTTAGTTTAGTTGGTGTATATTGAAGTATAAGGTTTAAGAATTTTAAAATATGTGTAAATTGTTCAAAAAACAAGTTTGTTTAAGACACCAAAGAAGGTTTTCTAAATTAATTTTTAAGTTATAGTATAATTTTTGTTATATAAGTTTGAGAGTTAATTTAGGTTATATGAGACTTTTTATGATTTTCTCTATGAGTTTGAAAGATACAGATCTGATATTTTAAACCAATATGTATTTGGATATCAGAAACAAATTTGATTAAGAGTTCAGATAAGATTTGCTTAGTAAAATTTTGAGATATCATTAATTTTCATTAGACAATTTATAGATATTAAGAAGAAAATTTGTAACTTTTTGTAGATTTTTTTGGTGAGTTTGAATGATATAGGTCTAATATTTTGATATTATGTGTGTTTTTATCTCAGAAACAAATTTCAATTAAAGGTTTAGTGAGGTTTACTTAGTACTATTTTGAGATATAGTTGATTTTTGTTAAGTAATATATAAACCAATAAAGTTTCAAATAACCAGTAAATTTTTCAGAGATGTCCAGTAAGTTTTCTAAATTTAGTGAACGAAATTTTGAGATTTGTTGGGTCTTTAAAAATTCTAATGGGTGAAAAAAAGTGAATTTTTCAGAGCAAGCCAGTAAATTTTCAAAAAAATTGCCAATGAATTTTTAGAACAAGAGAATGTTTTTAACAAGAGAGTTTAAAGTCTTTTTTGCTATAAAATTGTCAATTTTAATCTATTTGTAATGAATTATATATCAAAATATTCATCTTAATGAGTAAAACAAATTTGTCTTAAGTAAAAACTAAGGTTTGCTTAATAAAATTTTGAGTAAATGATAAAAGAAGAGTTAAAGAAGTTTTGATTATAGTTGAGTGACTTTTAGTTTATTTGTAGTATATTTTATATCAAAATGTTTATATGAAGGAGCTGAGTAAGTTTGTATTAATGAGTGTAAATAGTTTTCTTAGTATAATTCAAAAAAACTTTGAGTTTGTAGAATTTTTAATTTTTAAAAGTTTTTTTGACGAGTTTGTGAACTAAAGTTATAAAACTTTAGTAAAATATGTAAAGTGAGTTGCTAGACAAGTTTATTTAGAGCATCAAAGTAAGTTTTCTTAAAAATTTAAGAAGATGTAGTCATTTTTGTTTTGTTGTTTTTTAGGTTTGGTTTGGTGTAAGTGATTGACAGAAAGAGTTTCCTTTTTAATATTATTTAATGCTACTATATTCTTATTTTAGACAATGTTTGATGACTATAGTTTTTATGACAAAAAGAGGTCAATTGATTATTAAAGCATGTAGAAAAAGAAAAATATTTATGCACTAAATTTTATTTGTAATGCAATGGCTATATTTCTTTACATTAAATGTAGTTAATTAAATATGATACCAGATGATTCTAATATCAATTGAAAAAGTGTTTATAAATCTGATTATTTAAATTTGAGTAAATTTATAGAATATTACAATAAAGTATTTTCAATAGCATCTTTGTATACACCTAGTTCATAAGATCTCCAATTCAAATAGACAAAATATATCCGTTAGGTAAAATAAAAAAATTGTTATTAACATAAAATTTTACTAAATAAAATTTTAAATTTCAAAGCATTAATATTGGACATTATTTCAATTATCACTATGCTTAAGTTTTTATAATCTTTAAGCATAACTGAAAATAGTAACAGACTTGATAGTTTTCTTTTTAATTGAACAGTTATTTCAAATTCTTGATGAATATCAATCAACTCATGCACATGATATACTAATATATATATATAAAGTGTAAATTAGCTACCTTTTTATTTTTTTTTAATATTAATGGTGAGGCTATATCTCTATCTTTATTGAATATTAATTGAGATTATTATATAAAGTACTAATCTACTTTTAAAATATTATAAAAAGAATAAAAGCTCAGACTAGTTTATCTGTGATCTAAACCAACTGGAGTGGCCAAGACTCATCTAGATTTGGGTATTAGTAATAATATGAGAAAGATTAAATTAGTATTTGATCCAATATATATACCAAGAATTTATCTTGGAGCTAATAGTAGTAAAAGGAAGTGTGTGAAGAAGGATTAGAAAATAAATTATCAGTAGAAGAATAAACTGTTGATCTTGAAATACAGTAAAGAATCCAGATTTTATGATAAACTTATTGATTAAGATAAAGTAGAAATTTTATGAGAAGACTGAAGGCGTATCTGGTATACTGTGTATAGTCATGCAGTCTAATTGCTTGATCTGGTTGTATAAGTTAGTTATAATGTCTTGAGTAGTATCAAGTGTAGTTGTGTTAAGAATATGTTGTAATAAATTATCTATAAGCTTGTATAGTAGCTGATCAGATGAACAAGTTATCCAATGAAGTTGAGAGCTGATCTGATGATATTGATGACAATTGAGTGAATATGAAAGATATCATTTGTGTAGAATATGTAGAGAAGAAAGGTCATCTAATAAAATTTTAATCCTAAAGGATTTAAAAGCAAAGGATTGAAAACTGTACAAAAAGTTGGAAATTTTTTGATTGTTGTTAATATATAACCAGGTAGCTTGCCAATTAATTTGGTTAAAAATTTTGTTCCATTTTTGAAAACGGTTTTGTGTTATTCAAAGTGCATAAATATGAGCATGACATATTGTTCTAATACTATAGTGAGTAGGTAATTCTAGAGGAAAGTTCTCAAGAGTTAAAGTATAAGATAAATTATAAATATTATAAGACATAAATATAAGATATAGTTGCATGCAAGTTGGTCAGCAAGATTATTATAATTGTTATCTTGATAAGCAGTAACTTTATGAAATATAATGTAATATTATAAGATTTAATAAAATTATTATGTATATTCTATAAGGAAAAATATGGTATATGTGTATATGATAG